AATAAAAATGATTAAAAATAATAATATAAGCCTTGATTTGCCTAAAAATATATTTTATTTTTATAAGCGTTTATTTGCCAAGTAATCTGATGGAGGAAAAATCACTATGACCAAGCTACAACATGTTACAAATTAAACATTTATTACTTAATTGCAATTAATTTAACATACTACAAAATGTGTTTATTTAGTTTAGTTTATTTATATAGTTGATGGTACAATGCTCTTAATATTCAGTGAGGGCCCTATAACACATTTTAGATAACTTGAGCCGATCATTWAAATTTTTACATCTACGATGAAGATGGAATAAAAAATAAATCAACTGGAAGTCTCTTTTAGGTGAATTAGGTTTATTTATTTATTTTTTGTACATGCTGTCATAGTATGGTTATATGACAGTAAAATGGTTTTAAACCAATAGTAATGTACTTTGTTTATTTATGTTTGAAGTGCCTAATGAAAATAAACAGTTTAAGTTAATTATAAGGATTTTTAAGGACATTTATTAGTACTTGTATCGGCAAGTACTTTAATGTAAGTACTCGTACTCGGTTTTCAAAAATCTGGTATCGGTGCATCACTACTTTAAACTGACCACCGTGTCGCCCACTTTACTTCCTGGTTTGTGTCATCATCATCATCGTCGTCTTCACGGGGTCTTACCCTGGGCGGTCGGTGCTGGATGCGAGCGCGAGCCACTTTCTGCTTGTTGACGATGTTCATGAGCTTGACGGCATCGTTGCCCTTCACGTAGACCACCGGTCGCTTCAGGGGGTCCTCAGCGACCTGATTGAGCTGAAGACAAGACAGAGAAAAAAAACAAGGATCATAAATTTTGTTCCAGATTTTAACCCGAGTTAAACTTTGATATGAGAAGTTTTCAAGACTCCGCAATGAGTTAGCTTCAGTTATTTCTGTTTCTAGTGACCACAGATCAAATCAGGTTCCCACAGTTTGAGGAAAGTTCATTTTAAGACTTGTTAGGACCTCGTTAGGCCACCTGAAATGAGATTTAAAACCAATTTCACAATGAACACAAATGGATGAAAAGAACAGCGACTATTTTACCGAAATCTTTACTTTAACACAAAACAACAAGCTGTGAGAAGCGGTCTGTAATGGAACTGATACTTTTAGGTTTAAGCCAGTAATTCATGACCTACTTTAATGACCAAGGTTTTTATGACATGAAAAATCATTCTATCAGTAGACAGAATGATTAAAGTCAGAACAAGATTTGCTAACAACAATCATTCTTAGATATCAATTGTGTTTTTGTATTTTCCCTTGACCTGGTATTGCCTTAGGTCAGGAGTCTGCAAACTTTATGATAAAAAGAGCCATTTCTGCTCCTCGGCACACTGAGAAAATGTGTCCAGAGCAGCAAAACAAGCTAAGACTGGGATTATCAACTGGTGGTCCGCGGGCTTTTTTGAAGCCTTTTCAGGAACCTTTACGGCCAGTGGAGGTGACATTATAAAACTAAAAAATATACTGTGAATTTTAATATTCATTATTATTTTTACACATTAGGACAAATGAATAGACTATTTTCACGTAAAAAAATACTTTATATAGTTTATCTTGAATTTCACAAAAACTAGTACAACTAAACTATTTTCTAATTCTTATTATTATGTAGTCTTCAAAAATTTTAAAAGGTCATTCTGATGGATTTGAAAGAAAGATCACAGCAATAAGTTGGATTATTTAAGTAAATGACAGGCTAGCATGAGCTAATCTACAGGTTTTACTTTTTGTATTAGTAGTATTGAGCATATATTTGCATACAAATTGATTTCTGTTGTGGGTATAAAAAAACAAACAGAAAATTTTATTCTGTTATGTTTGGCCACATTTTCAAAGAGCCACTGCAGAGGGACCAAAGACCCTCATGTGGCCCTAGAGCCGCAGGTTGCAGACCCCTGCCTTAGCTTATTAAGATGACATAATAGTGTTTGTTAAACAGTATATATGAAGCCTCAACTTCCTCAACTGCAGCAGAAGCACAGAGACAGAGCAGAGAGTATTGAGGACGGTCTGTTGTTGTTCTCTGTGTTCCTGTTTTTGCAATAAAATTCAGCTGATCATTGCACGGAGTTCCTTCATTCTTGGACCACGTATTTCTGTCTTTGTTAAATATTTCCATAAGTAAATAGTTAGTAAATTATTTATAAAGATAAATAAATGTTACCAATTATTTTAACATTTGAGATGAATTATAATCACCTCACTGACAATGTAACATTCGTAGGACCTCTAAAAGTTGATTTAAGACATTTTAAGGCTAATTAAGGCCTTATTTTTGAATCGATGAATAGGGCTGTGTAAAATATATATTTAACCGATCTTAGATTGATTTATCAAAAATAAAAAAATAAGTAGGTCCTCTGGATGGGTTCTTCTTTAGTGAAACGTTTCATCTCTCCACCAAGAGACTTCTTCAGTCTGATGAGTTTCAGGTGAACTCAGCCTTATAAGCACTGCCTCCACATGGACAAACAGGTTAGTCACATGCAAAAGAGGGCCATCACCTAACAACAGGCTTGATTAGCTCTATACCCGTGTCGTGTTGGATTGATTTAACTTAGATTTGGGGAAATCGATTCATCGGGCATGAGATGAATTTTTGCCCATGGGGTCTTGTGTGTGATGAAGCTATATTTTGTCACTCCTGGCTTGCCGTATGTTTACATCTGGTTGACGTTCAGTGCTAACGTTAGCTTCTGACAACAAGTTGTTTGAGGCAAAACAAGAGAAACTAAGGAATCACCAACTTTACCTGCTGACTCTGCAGAACTAAAAGATAACAGAGACCAAAACGACTGTACGTATGTAAACATCTGACAGAATCTGTTCTCCCAGCATGTAGAAATGTGTGACAAACAAAAAAAAACAAACTGGTTTAGTTTTGTTACCAATATTATTATTTTTAAACTTTAAGAAACATTTTGATGAAAAACAGTGATGAAATATTGAAGTATCATTTTTATTGAACATAACAGAAGGTAACAAAAACATTACAAATATACAGTTTTAATACGCTCAAAAGGAGTTGGCAGACATATATTTACATTAGCCCACCTCTCCTCTTGCAACCTTATTCTATCACTTCTTATTCATCAAGAAAAATATTCTTCATTTCTTAAAAATGAACGTATCCAACAACACTGTCACACATAATGCCTTTTTAATTTAAAACCTTTGAAACTTGAGACATTTTTGTTTCAAGATTAAACGGTTTAATTAACAAGTTTAAAACCTGTCGTTTATGGTGAAGAGAAGAAATAAAATGGTTTGTATTTGGCAGCACAGTTGAACTATTTTCATTCTTCAGCAGATCGAACAGAGTCAAACTGAATCGAATCACCATTAATTGATTCAGACCTTATGAATCAAAACTGAATCGATTCATAGAACTGGTCACGATACCAGCCCCTAATAATGAATTCAGTGCCTTTTAAGACTTAAGGATTCGATGGATCCCTGTAAAATCTTATGGTAATGAACAGTGGAGGTCTTCTGGTGACAGCTGTCCGGCCCTGTCACACTACACAGCTCAGGCCAACTTATGAACATTTTAAAGACGTCTCTGTTGAAGATGGAATTGAAAAGAATCAACAGGAAGCTTCTTTTCGGCTTTAGTTCTAACAAATTGATCAAATATATAACCTTTATTAGCAATTTAGAGATAAAACTGTTTCATAATTTGACATGAGTTGTCTGGTGTGACAGGGCCTTCACCAGTTTAGAAAATGGTTGGTTTTTACAGAAAGATGTTTAAACCTTTCATACTGTATTTTTTTTTTTATCTCTAAAAGCATCAATTTTTGTATCACTTCTGACAAAAATGTGCCACAAATGATCAAAGCTCTGTAAGGAAATCAGGACACATGAACTCATTTCTCTTTAAAACATTGTTTTGATCTTCAGATAATTCTTTGTGGTCTTAAGTTTTATTTTGACAGGCGTGTAAACGATGCATTTATTTACAGAGTCTCTGATTTATGTCAAAACATGAAAAAAAAAGTTCTCTGCAAAACAAATCACGTTTCTCCTAAAACTGTATTTTTGTCCACTTTAAACTGAAAACTAAAATTAGGACTGGATTTATTGATTGATTGATTTATTGATTTATTTACTTATTTACTTACTTATTGATTTATTTATTGACTTACTTACTTATTTACTTACTTATTGATTTATTTATTGA